TCCCAAGACCTTCCTATATACAACCCACATTCTCTTCCGCCTCTTCTCAACTCTGACCACCTTACAGTAAACTTCTCCCTTCTGCAGAACTCTATTCCCTCCGTCCCATCTTCCCATAGATCCACTCGTCTAGATTTTCGCAAAGACTACTTCAAAGCCATTAATCAGCACCTGGCATCCATCGATTGGCTTTCCATTTTACGCTCTTCTCTTCCTCCGTCCGAAATGTACGACCTATTCATCAAAACGACTTGATCTTGTACTCCCCTATTTGTTTCTCCACCTCCCAAATCATCCTCTTCCAACTTGCTCTACGCCGAATCCGAGGAGCCGCTGCAAAATTTTTCAAATCTAATCAGCATCAATCCCCTCGCCTCTCTCGTTTACTCTTGAAACAGAAAGCATTGTTCAAGCTTCACCAGAAACGCACGTCGGCTTTCGAGCGTCTAGTCCTTACCAATCATAACTCTAGAGCTGCAAAAACACTCGTTCGTCGCAGACTCAAAGCCAACTCATCGGTGCATCCTATCTCCATCAATGGTACAATTCTTCATGATGATTCCTCAATAGCGTCCGCGTTCGCAACCATTTTTCAATCGAACTTCACCTCGGACCATTCTTCATCTTCTAGCAACACCCATTTTCCACCCCCTTGATTGTTTCGATGATCAGCACCTCTTCGCCCCCTATGTAGTTGAAAAAGTTCTCCTCAAGCTCCCTCCCACCTGCTGGTTCTCCCCACATCTCCTAAATTATCTAGTACTCAAACGTTGTGCCACCCCACTTGTCCTTCCCTTATCTATTATATTTGCTAACTTCTTTCGGTCCTCTTCCATCTCCAACGCTTGGAGACACTCTACTGTGATACCCGTCCCAAAAAAAGGAAACCTCTTTAATCCGGCCAACTATCGGCCAGTTTCCCTAACCGACCCCGTCGCCACAATCATGGCAAGAATCATCTGTCGTCGCCTTGTTACAGACAACCTTCACAAGTTCCATCCCTTTCAGCATGGCTTCCTACCGTACAGATCCTTCGTCACTGGTCCACTCCACTTCAATCTATAAGCGTCTTCTAGCCAAATACAAAACTGTGGATATAATTTTCTTCGACTTCCAGAAAGCGTTTGACAAAGTTCCTCATTCTCTCTTACTTGAAAAGCTTGTCTCCTTTGGGGTTCCCACACCATTCTGCAGATAGTTCAAAGACTTCCTATCCAACCGGGCCTTCTCGGTAAAAGTAAACTCTCACATTGATCCCACTCGTCTCATCATTCCATCCGGTGTTCCCCAAGGATCGGTTTCCGGTCCATTATTCCTAATTTTTCTCAATGACCTACTCTTTTCGCTTTATCCCTCCATCCATTTTTCGGTCTTCGCCGATGACATTAAAGTTTTTCATAACTCCCCCTCTATCATTCAAAAGTCCACTGACATCATTTATACCTGGTCCGTTAAGAATTCTCTCCCTCTTGCCACTTCCAAAACATCACTCCTTCGATTAGGCTCTCAAAATTCCCATCATAATTATACCATTGACGACTCCTGTATTATCCCGTCCTCCCAAGTTAGAGATCTTGGCCTCACCACCGACCCGCTCCTTAAATTTGAACAACACATTCTCAAGAAAATCGCCCTTACCATGCTCCGATATCACCAACTACTTTGATCTTTCCGCTCCAACAATCCGCTGTTCTACGCTGCGCTTTTCAAAACTTATGTGTTACCGATCATCGAATACTGTTCTGCTGTCTACTCTCCACCCCTTCTTCTAAACTATCTCTTAAATTAGAACGACCTCTCAGCCACTTCTCCAAAATAGTCCTCAAAAGATGTAACATCTTCTTCTCTTCCTATGAAAATCGTCTCAAAATCATAAACATGTTCTCCATCCGCCATCGTCGCCTCAAAGCACAACTTTATTTACTCTATAAATTAATTAGCGGTGCCTCTTATTTTCCCAATCTTGATTCACATGTTTCCATTTTCTCCTCCGCCCGTCACCCCATGTTACTTACATGCCATCACCCCAAAATAAACGACTATTTTGCCGAAACGATCCCAATTTTGAACGCTATTGTGAAGAACTGTCCCACCTTCTCACCACCCTCACAATTCCAAAAACTTCTTGAGATCTCGATTACCCGTTTTTGACTTGCCCCCATCCCTTTGATCTCGCCACTATCTCTCTTTTCCTTCCCCTTATTATTCACCCAGCGGATAAAAGCAAATAAAGTATATTAGAGCCCATTCGTAGTTCATTCTCAAAGGAACCAGAGAAGCCTGAGCTACGGAGAATAAAGAAAAAAGGATTATAAGCAAGATATAAGAGTAACTAAGGAGGCGCCAACGGATAACCCGCCAGGCACGCCTCAGCTCCAGTCAGTCGCTCTTCATGTCCTCTTACCAATAGGACGTTTAGTATATATTATCTTTGGGCTGGCTCAATGTACATGTAAGTTATTAGGATGCTTGTCGTAATAACTTGTTTCAGATCACCTATATCTCAGTCATATCTAGTTATCCAAGTCATGTTATTAAATACCGATTTTTTTTGGATCTAAAATAAGGGTGAGGAATCAATGGCATCATTTTTCCAACTGATAATAATTATTCAAGAATTGCAACAATCCAACCGTATACTGCGCTTCATATTTAAAACAATCAACGGGTTTACTCAAGCAATTTTGACAGCCGTCTGGCTTGGCAGTCTTCTTTGTCAATGGGTTTTATTTTTCTCGATGTTCAAATGTTTTTCTATTTTATCTTTTTTTTCTCATTTTTTTCCCTGTTTCTTGATAGTTAGTGTTTTGGTTGATAATTGATTGATAGCTTTTTGAAAACTTATGTAATCCTCACAAAAAGCCATTAGAAGTAAAAAAAGAAACAAGCCGAGGATCCTAACTTAAGTTTAAGTTAAGTAGTTTTCCTCTTTGATAAGTATGTACTTTAATGTATGATTCCTCGTTCAATCGATTTTCTGTTTATTCTTCTTCTCTATTTAGAAACCTCTTCTTCTCTATTTAAAAATATAAAAAAGTATCGTTAGTTGATGTTTCTGTTCACAGTTTTTAGTGGCACTTTTTGTAGCTACCGCCGTCACCCAAAAATGTTATTGTGTTTTCAGCGTGTCAAAATTACGCACTACGCAGTGACTCTAGAATTTATGGCTCTTTATGACAAGGGGGGCCCATGAGAAAAGGGGGGCCCAAGTGGAAAAACTATGCCTGAGTTGATATTTACCGAATTTTTCAAGTTTTCTGACCGTTTCCATTAAAATTTCGAACTTTGAACACTTTTCATAATTTTTTTTGAAAATTTCAGTTTATGTCATTTTTTG